ACCTCATTGTGGGCATCCTCGCCGTGTTGGAGGATGATGATAGTCAAGCTTCTGCAAGTGTCGTAAACATCGCCGTTATTGTATAAGAAGAGATCGTCCTTCAGGATTTCCCCCCCTCCCCCGCCCTTTTTCTCCCTCTTTGGGGTTTTTTTTTTTTTAAACCCCCCATCCCCCGAAGAACTGAGGTACACATTTGAAACCATTCAGAAGCTTTTCATGGGTCTTGGAACAAATCTGCAGTTACAGTGTACATTGTTGCAAAGGATTTTATATGAATCAAAGTTGTTACAATGTGAAATTATAAATTACTTCAACTTGGAGTTGAGTTCAGAGAACTCTGAACTGAAAGCTGAACAAACTCAAAAGCAAAACTTAAAAAGTTTAGTTTAATTGCCTAACTCATAACTTTGCTGAAGTTTGTTGCCTTAAAATTTTAAGTTCTCCCAAATGTTTCTTTTTTACAGTGTGTGTAGAGCAGTCACACTGTTCAATGATGGCATTGTGATCTATTTACTTGCTTACACAAGAATGGCAAGAGAAAACAGGTCATTCCGGGAAAACATTATTGACTATATAATCAATGTCTCCTGCTCATGTGATATGGAGAGAGTGAATCAAGGCAGTTGCAGTGTTTTTTGGTGCCGGAACAAATTTGGTCATATTGAGTTCAGTAATGTGGTTTACTGTAGATAGCGGAAAATCCTACAGTGGGGCTGAATGCCTGTTGAAAGAGTGAGTGAATGTCCATGAGCTGCAGGGGCTCTTTGCTTTTGCCAACCTATTATTTCCTAGAGGCCTTCTGGAACAATCATCTGACTGTGAACAAAACATCGATACAGATTGCTGCTCTGCTGGCAAATATCACCTCTGCACTCCATATACATGCATTAATGCAAACATATTGAAAAACTGGAGAAAAAATAGACATTATTATGCATGTGTTTGGCAGTTTAACCTTGAAAATCATGTTTTTATGAAGTCTTGCATATAAGATAAAGGCCAGATTGTGTCCTTGACATATTTTATACCACACCCGGGTTCAGCTGCCTGTGCATGCCTGAAAGCCAGTGGTCTTTTGCAGATAGGGTATTTTCAGATATTCAAATGACATCCTGCTTCTACTATGTGGCAGTGTGACGGTCTGTTACAAGGGTGAACTTGCTTACACGCTCACAGAGTCACCCACGCACCCACTTGCATCTCTTCTGTTCAACTGTGAATAGGCTTTTAGTAAAAGTGACGGCCAAGGCACATGCTTGAACAAGCATCCCCACTCAGGAACTTCTATTCCGATCATTTCATGTCACAATACTCAATGGCCCTCTTTGTTGTCTGAGGAGTTATTAAGCTCAACAAATTAACATGACTGCTCCGGGAGACCTGCAGCGCTGGAGAGGAACAAAAAAAACGAAAGTAGTGAAGATGAGAGAGGAAAAGAGACCCAGAATGAGAGACGAGGAATATTTCAGAGGAAACAAAGTGGAGCAGGAAGGGAATCAGGAGATGAATTAAGTCTTGATTGAACTATGTAAAAGGGGTCTCTTTTTTAGAGCTGCACAGTTGCAAAAAGTACTGTAGGGGCCTCATCTGCTGTATAATTACCAAAGATGCTCAGTCATATCCTATGCCAAATGGAAAGAAGCCCAGAAATCATGTAACTATGACAGCAACTACCTCATTATGGAGGATATTCAGTGTAATTAATGATTGCAAACGAAAGACGAAAAGCAATTTAGGAATTATTGATGGTGACATAAAAACTGTGGGATCTGTCATAAAAATGTTAGTGCATACTTCCTTTGGACTGAACCACATTTAAGACTTGGGAAGGGATTTTTTGTAGTTAACAAGAAGAGAATGCTTTGATGCTTCCAACAAACAAACAGAAAAGTTAAATTTTGCTCTCAGCACCCTTTGACCATCTCTGCAGTGACTCATTCTTGCAGTCTTGTGTTTTTCTCTTGGAAACAGAGGCATGCACATGACCTAGAGTTTGCCTCAGTGGATAATATCGCCATGAGTCAACTGAAAGCAGGGAGGAAATTATCTGACTTTCTGTTATTGCTCTGCCATTGGTTGACAAGTTGTTGATTCTGAGAGCGCAAAAACACCTCAGCTGGCACAGCATTAGCAGTCATGGGTCTTTCCTCTCAGACTCAGGATGCCGGGTCACAGCGCACACACAGTCCACTGCATGTGTCTGTGACAGTGATCGCTGCTGATGTGGGAGCTAAATAATCAGACACTTTCCAGTCATCCTAGCTCAGATTGAGGAGGAATGTGCAATGTTAAAGAGCACATGACAGCCGACACCTCAGAGACACTTCACAGGCACACATGTAAAAATCATTACAAAGGACGTTGTCCAACCCCTGTGTGTGTGGAACAGAACTGTTCTTAAGATTTTATCATGAAGTCTTCACTCTAATCACGAGATTAACATTTAGGCCTCTACTTGTCCACTAGCAATATCAGCTGAGCGGTTAAACAACATGTTTAATTAAAGACACATTCATGTCAGGTGTGATTAACTGTCTTTTTCTTGAAATACTCAAAAACAATGATGTAACATTTGGATCTGGTTTGCATCCAGCCCTGGTGGCCTTTTCCACAAGACCACCACGCTGATACAAAACACTCTGGCTTGAAGGTTCATAAGTTTCCATAAGGAAAAGCAATCTTTCCTCTTTTTTTTGCAATCACAATATGGCTCCCAGAAGAACAGACACAGTGTGCAGTTTTGTGTCTATAATTTGCTGTATTTGATTAGTTGAATCTCCTGTCACAAGACATCATTAAATGTTAAGCATTTCATTCAACTGTATCTGTGAAAGACATAAATTCAAGAGATTGTTCATTTTCCCTGCTGTATGAGAGCTTCAGAACTATTCAAAATGCGTCTTAAACTCTTAACTCTCTTATGTTTGATAGCTTTCTTCTCTACAGCTCAATCTGCAGTAAGAGAAATTTATGAAGCTTTCCTTGCAGGCTTTTCTTGCTAAAATTAGTATGATCATCACATGCAAGAAAACATTTTTATCTTCAGGCCAACGCTTTTCTCTTCAGATGTCTGGCTCAATGAGGTAGAACTGAAACCACATTGTTCTCCAGTGTGTTCAGTTATCATGGAGGCTTCTTGGCAACCAGATTCTGTTGGATGGGTAATTGTCACAGGACTAACACCAAGTACCTAACAAGATATTTGTGAAAAATAACTTGATAATCCCTCTGAACTGAGCTCAGCGGACCGACGCCAAGTTATCCTCCCACATCCTTCACACAGGCCAACACACTGTTAAACCGTTCACCGCAAGGACAGAGGAGAATCTCTCTGAAAAACATGTGGCCCCTCTGCGAGGTGAAGGTCACTGTAAGATCAAATCAGACTTAAGTTATATAACCTCAGTCTGAATGACATCTTCACTTCGCAGCTCCACACACACAATCAGCCCCGGGACATCCTGTTTATTTTGGGCTTGAATGTCTTCATGAACACAGTTAATCCATTTCTCTGTTTTTAAAGCCATTTCACACGAAACACAGTAAATCACAGCACAGCAGTATGATATCCGTTTCTCTGACACAACAAAAGGCGACCTTTACAGCAACTAGCAAGTCTCCAAATTAATCTCCTCATGTCCACAACAGCAGGCTACACTATTTCTCCAGAAAGGGCCATGGAGAATCATTGAATATAAAATGGGAGCTTTAGCGAATGGACAATGCACAAAGGTTGATTGCCATGCAGAGTAATATCCTCTATGAGACAGTGAAAGAGGGTCTGTGGGGAATTAGTTCACAGGGTATCCACTCTGGAACTTGCAATTCAGTGAACTTCTCTCTCTACATTAAGAGCCACTGAAGTCGCACAAAGGAGCAGCTCCAAATTAGGAGCACAAAGACGCCTCTGTGAGGAGCTTCAGAGTGAATTAATGAGCATTGATACACATTCGCACAGTGTTCTTCCCTGCCCTCAGCTGCACCGCCACAAACAACACAAGCCAATATATGCCGCACTGAAGGCGACACAAAACTGAAGCAATCAGCTCAAAATAGAGGAACTGCAACTACTGGATGGTTTTACTGTCAAATATCTAGTCCAGTGCAGGATGAGAACAGTTTGGAGTGAAAGAGGAGTGTTTTTCCCATCTATTTTCCCCATCTGCTCCACAGGTTACCACTGTGTCAAAGTCTTAAAGTTGGTATGAAGTTACTAAACATCCATGAGCATGGGCGCCTCACTCCTCCCATGAATCAACCAGGTTGGGAGCACAGATGGCCGACACTTGTGACTGATTTAAAGATGGGACGGTCTCAGCTCAGCCCTTCAGATAGCAATTACAAGCTCTGGCATAACTCACACAGAATGTGAGTTGCTTCAGCTACGGAGCATCTGACTAATACAACATGTTGCCTGTTTTTCCAGTAACTTTTACTCAAGTCTTTACCAGCATAATACTGTGCAGTAAGGTTAGGAAACCCCACCACAACATTTCACCATTACATTATCAATCACTGCTGGCCAGTAAAGACTGATAATGATAAAAAAAAAAAAAAAGGCTGGTTGAAAATAGGTTTTAATCAAACTGTTCAATTCAGCACTAAGGCTCAGCTGAAAGCAGAAGTAAGAGAGACAGTGGAAGCAGCAAGTTGATCTGGATTTAACACCTACACAGACTCGCACAGAGTTGACTGCAGGAATCCTGATAGACTTAATCTCTCTAATCGCTTTCCTCAAGTTGCTTCAGCAGGCTGCTCTAATGCCGACTCTCATGAAAAGCGGGTCAGGTAAACAGCCTGCTTCTGCAGCACCAGTAGTCCTACAAGTTGGAATAAGTTTGAGTTTAAAACAATCGGCGCGCCCTCAAAAGTTGGAGCGACCAAAACAAAGTATGAAGCATGCTGTCATGACGGGGGGAAAAAAGCGATATTTAAATCCGTCTTATAGCCACACGGGGGTTTTTGTTGGTAAAAAAAAAAAAAAAGGAGGAAAAACTTACCCATTTTTGTAAGTTTTTCCAAAGCGTCTGAAGTGAAGCGATCAGCAGAAAGTTGAGCCCCGGCTACACTGATGTTGCGTCCTGGGATGCACACTGGCCGCCTGGCTGCCCAAACACTCAACGCTGCGTCCCTTTGGAGACAGCCCGTGTGACGTCACCACAGAGGGGATTACTGATGGGAGGACGGAGCTCTCCCCCCCTCCCCCTCCCCCTCACCTCCTCAGCCCTCATCAGGAAGTTTCACTGGTCACTCAGCTCATCATGAGCCACTTTATCTGGCAGCATTCCTGCAACCTGGCGCGCAAGGTCCTCCAGTAAACAGATACGGGCTGGGATGTATCAGAAACATTATCAGGAAGTCGATCAAATAAGCTGATATCAATCAAGATGCAAACTCAAGCGAGGTTTATCTGCACTGTTGTTCACGACAACACAATAGCAAGCAATCAGGTCAGCTGGAACAACAAACAGATGAGGTTTTATCACAGGTCAGAGACCCTCAAAGCTGCAAAGTCTGGCTAGGCATTTGTTTATCAGAGACATGAATGAGCAGCAATCTAGAAGGTTGTTAAGCAACACATACTGATTTTAAAGGTAGTGTTCAGAATCCTCTTCTCTTCTCACCATCGGGATTTAAAAGAAAAATCCATCCATATGATAAAGATGTTTATCCTGTCTTCTAAGTTGCAAAGTAGCCGGAAAATGTCACATCTCCTTGTTTGCTTTGCAAGAAAAATATGAACACATTAGTTTTGAATGAAAATAACAGTTTAACACCAACATATACAAATATAACTGATCATAAAGCATTTTTAATTTTGTTGCAGACCATACAAATGTGAATTAAAAAATATATAAATAATAATAAATAAAATTGTTGCAACTCTGGAAAAACTCATTTTTTTTGTTGTGCAACAGATGGGATACCTTGGTGCTTAGAAGAGTCATTAAGAATTCTGGATATACCTTCAGACCAGCAGTCAAGTCACAGATGCTTTGCTCTGTGACTTGAATGTAATGGTAATAAATGAAAAGGACAAACTGGGGCTAGACTGCTGTCCTCTGAAGGGTTTAAAAAGGTTGAAATGAGTAAAAAAAAAATGGACAAAAGAATTTGACTTTTAGTACAGCCATAGTAATCTACACTTGTACATGCATATACATTTATTGTAGTTGAAACCCTGTTACATACCCATATATGCATGGGTGCGTACGTTGTCTGATTTTAAAGAGATCTCTCATGTTTGACATTACTTCTGTGGACTGTGGAATAAATCGCAGTCTTTCACAAAGATGAGGCCTTTACAGAAACAATGCCAATCACCATCAATCCAGTGTGCTGGTATCCGGTATCCAAGGAGTTCTGAGCACCCCCTAATCCAATCCAGCCTATTCACTGGTGGCCAAGTGGCAAGTCTCAATGGGTTGTTTCATGGCCAAACAGGGCATCTGCCCAACATAGCAAACACAAAAGCCTCCGAAAGGCAAATATTTAACTGGTCAACTTCAGCTTTACAAAGACGTCATCATATTTTCCAAAATATATTTTTCATTTTTAATCCACTGTGCACATTGATTTATTCTTTTTTGTTTGCTTTCCATGTCACTTTTTGGCTGCAAGTCAGGTTTTCTTTTTCTGTAAATCTGCATGTGTGGGTGCAATACAGATCTGCAGTTCCTGCTAATATTCTCTCCAAACATATTATGATATAAATCTGTGAGTGGCCAACATGGCAGCTATTATAAAGAAGTATATTTTATCAGTTATTTAGTATATTTTTGTAGTTGATGTTATCATTCAATGTCAATGCTGCAAGTGTGCAATTTCTTTTATTATTTTCCTCATGTGTCGTAAACCACAGACAGTACGCTGTGTACCATACAGAATACATCAGATTGTCATTAGAAATCTGCATCTCCATTAACTTGAGGTCCCACCGCTGTCTGGTGTGTTTTTTCACTTGCTTTCTGTCCGTGTACATGAGCTGCATGTCAGTGTGTGTGAATAGAGGATCTGCATGGGAACATTCCAGCACTTTGCTGGCTGTTACAGCAGGCACGGCAGCTGGCAGACAGCAGGCATGCAACTGTTATTAGGGTGGACCATGGCAAAACAAAACACATCAGACAAAGCCTTTTTATCTGACATTAGACAGCGCATATGGCCTTGTCACTTACAGAGCAATTCACCTGGGACATGACGTTTTACAGTCGGTGGATGCTATATTCTGCAGAAAACCGTCAGTGTTTCTTGGGATATTCGTTATTTTGTTAAATAGCTTACAACAAAGGCAGTTGTGGCAGCATGGATATAGTATATACTGTGGGTCAGCAGCTAGTTTGCTATTCTGGAAATACTTTGTGAATAAACATTAACTCTTAGCAGACCATCCAGCACTTATTTATGCCCTGGACAGAGCTGTTTGGAGCTGTCACCCTACTGATTTATTGGGAGCTTGATTGGAGAAAACTAATATCTCAAATATCACATGTGAGAAACTTATTAGATACAGTTATTCTCAGTGTTTTTCTTACCCATGAGGCAATATACGGAGGTACAGCATCTCTTGAAGCATTATTTCTCTCTTCTAATTCATGTTGTGTTTCTAATTAAGAATAAGCACAGCGAAACAGGGATGATGATGACAGGGCAGTAGAGGCAAATTGAGGTAATCCTGCAGCGTCTAATTGCAAATAAAGAAAAGCTGTTGAAGAGCTGTACCAAACACAACAGCCGCCATGGTTACAAACCACTGAGAAAATGGCAGACACCGGGAATGGGCTCAAAATGAGAGGCGGTTTAAGGCGTACTCACAGTGAAGTTGGCATCAGATTGAACGCTACATGACTTGGTTGGACAATTCTGGCCTGCAGAGCGTTCTTTAATGTGTCAGCTCATAATGCAGTAGAGCAGAACTTGAAAGACAAAACTCTCTCTCACATATTGGTGAAGAAATAGCAAGAAAGAGTTACAACATTTTCCAGGAAATATGCAGTCCAGTATTGAATGTGCTAAAGGTAATTTACTTGATTACTTCTTTTTTTTCAAATACCTCTAAACAGATGTCTTAAAGAGACATTGTGTTGCTTATGAATGAAGACTGGCTGCAACTGATGATGATATAGTCTGTTAAAGAATCACTTCATCATCATCATCCATCATTTCTGACTTTCATGTTGAAGATAAGTTGAAGGGTTAGTTGCTCCTCAATGGTTTGGGAACATTCCTACCCCATAAAACCTTTCTTCTAAAAACTCTTGAACTAAACTTCTTTTTAACTAAATTGTTCATTGCAAAGTAAATAACTTAATAGAAAATGAAGGACAATGTGAATGTCAAATCAAATCCCTTTGAACTCAGAGAATACAATTGTTCGTAAGACTTTGACCTTGAAGTGAAGTGAACAACATATGAGGTTTAGTGTGGAATTAACATCTGGTTTAGTATTTGAGAAGAAGTGGAAAATAATGTTTCATTGCCATCTTAGGGAAAAATACAGAGGAAACATATTGTTTACCACTGCCCACAAAAGGCTATCAAAAGAGTTTAGTCTATTCAACTTGCCTATAAAACTAAATCCTGCTTACAAGTTAAAAACATATGCCACTTAGGGACAAAACATGTAATTGAGTCTTTTATCCAACATTTTTCTGCACTAATCCCCAACTGGACTGCGTTGATAATTTCTGATTATGTCAACTTTTATTGCATCTTAAAATTGGCCTCTCTTACAAAGTAATATCTCGATGGGGTTTAACAAAACAAATGTTTTGGCGGGGTTTTGCGGGTGTGTCAGTCTCTGCTGGAGGTTCTGCAAACACAACTCATCACCAGTGCTTTTCAGTCAAAACAGACTGTGGCGAAGCGGTGGTGGTGGTGACCGACTTCAGCAGGTCAAGGGGAGTGATGAACGTGTAAGCAGTGCTGAGCTCATGTAATTTATCGTCCCCAAGGCCCAAGGCAGAGGGCAGTCGCAAAAACAGCTCCACACACAGCTGGGGGCTGGGCAGGAAGTTACATCCAGGCTAGTTGTCTTCTCAAGCCCATGTGTTTAAGAGTGAAAAGAGTTGGGAGTGGCCATATTTGGAGGACTCAAACGAACAGACTTAACTCTGGGAATGGAAAAACAAGGAGCAACTATGCACACCCTTGTGACTCTGCCTCTAGAGATAATTGGGTTACTGCAGCTCTGTATATACAGGATGCTTCATGAAGAAACCAAGAAACATTCAGAGATAAAACATTTCATTCCTGCACATGTAAAACAAGGGGATAACAGAGATGGATAACAGAAAAAGAAGTTAGTTAATCCTGATCAGATACTCTCTCAAGCAAATATTGCCCCAATACTGATGTAAACTACTGCTGAATTTCTTGAACACTCCCATCATTTGTTGGCTGGCAGCAGTGGCCATGGGCAGGGACCACACTGCAGTGAATAATTCCCTCTAGCAGATCCAAGTTGTGTTTCAGGCTTCATTTTACAGGCTGTTTGAAACTGTTTCACTGACAAATGTGTTGTCTGAGAAGATCATCCTTTAAAAATGTTCTCCACTGTAACTGAACTGGACAAAGACAACTGCTTCAACACTAGTCTATACTATGCTGCCATCTAGTGGAATTTTATATGGTTGCCCTGAGGTGCAAAGTGCAACAAACAAACATATTTTCTTTCATATTTTCTTGTTCATATGCACTTCCGCCAGTGTTCGAACACAGCAAAATCTTCAAAAGTATTCAATTAATTACTGTTACATAAAAGAAAAGCGTGGCTTGCAGAAGACTGAAGAAATATCTGGCCCTGTTTCTTTTGGCTCATTCACTGCGTGAGAATATGCAGGTACAAAATCTTGCAAAATATGCAGCAGTAACTCACACATTAGTGAATATAAGATTGGCCCTTTTTCACAGAACACATTTGGACTTGTCACAGTAGGAAAAGCACAGATGTAAATAATAAAATGAAAAATGGCCGGATTACATTTAGCTGCTTCAGTTTCAGGCACCTGGTGCACTCACTGTAGCACTGTCATGACTTACTGGGACTTGAATAGAACCAAGTTATTAGTAACGTCTGTGCTTTTACTACAATAGTTTCATATTGGACTAAATGAGGGCTCCATCAGTGCTGCAGGTTCAGGGGAGTTTCTAATT